TATTGTCCTCTTTCCTCAAACCAATTAGGAAGAGACTGATTTCCTCTTTTAAAATGTTCTAGTTAAATGTTAGCTGGACAACGACAACAATGGTCATGTCAATATTGATGGTTCAAAGCACAAGAGGTCTCCACGCTACACAAAGAATTCCAGACAACTAAAGAAGGCTGAGAACAGAAGAAACAGTCTTCTTCAAGGAAGGACAAACAAATCTATTATTCAATACCAAATGGTCAGTCCTGGAAACATACATATAAGTGACAATATACATACTGAACATGTTGTACTTATATATTTAGAAACATATGCATGCAGCATATATATGTATCTATATATTATACTATATATAATGCATATAATTTATGCTCATATTCATATATACACTCACATATATTCATGCTACAATAATTAATGAAAAGAGATAACACGAATTTGAAAGCAGCAAGGAAGGTTATATGGAAGAGTTTGGACTAAGAAGACGTAGGAGAGAAATTACACAATTATGTTAAGGTCAAAATGTAAAAAAAAATAATATTTGAAAGTTCTGTTCATTGAGCTACAAGATTCATTTAGAATTTCTTTTGCATATCCTTATAAAGTTCCCTTCTATTCTTTTCATTTAGTCTACACTGTGTGTGTGGGTGTGGGTGTCTGTGTCTGTATGTCTGTGTGACTGTGTGTTTGTGTAAAGATCTGTTCCTTGGATACAGCAAAGAGGAGCTGTAAGATTATTTGCATCTGAAAAAATATAATGGCATTTGCATACAGTATTTACATTTCTAGACAAAAACTTTTGAGTTAAATCAAGAATGTTATTTTAAATAATAAAGCAAATTACGTGTTAGACAGGTACCATTATTTGAAGCACTTATTTTATGTAGTATCAAAATATAAAATACAATGAAACCTGAGCTTTATCCACATTATTTCGTGTTGTTTATTTTTGTCATAATTTGCATATCTTGATCCAAATTTTCATTCAAAATTTTATATGAAAAATTTCACTTTAGTATAAATATGTTTATCCTCATTGGTTTATTTATAAAATAAGACACAGAAATAAACTATTAAAATGGAATATTAAAGTTTAATATTTTGAATTTTGCGTTTCTGGTATCTATAGTAAGTTAACTTCTTTGTTTCATATGTTGTATAACTAGTTACATTTGCTAATTCAAAATAGTTTTGCATGGATGTGTAAATCTAATTAGTGAAGACCTCTATAAATAGATGTATTTTACTGTTTTAAAGTTTTATTTATTATGTAGTTTTATCATGCTGTTTATCAGGCTAATTATTGGCAAACAGGGTATCATTTTATATTCATTTCTATTGTGTGTAATTTAAAAATCATTTAAAGTTTTCTATTGTGTGTAGTTTATTATAATTAGAGCCATAAAATGAACTATATTATATATTACCTATGTTATAAAAGTTTACAGTGGTTTATTTTTAATTGTAGAACAGTTTAAGATCCACAGCAGTCCCAGCCATAGGTCTAGATTTTCTGAACATTTCCTGTACTCATGTGCACAGTCTCTCCCATCATTTTTGTGTATATTTGTTGCAACTGATGAAAATATGATGGCACAGCTTTATAGTCTAAATTTTATAATTTTCAGTAAGATCACTTTATATAATATGTATTTAATGGCTTGTGATGATATATAATGACTTGGATTTACTATTGCATTGTGACTCACAATGGCTTTCTAGCCCTAAATGTCTTCTGGTCCCTGCTTATTGTTTTTTCTTTACTCTCTCCTCAGCCTCTGTTAATCACTGTTACATTATTGCCACAAAGTTTTACTGCTTTTTCAAATACCATATGCTTTGAGTCATACACTATGTGGCTTTTTAGTTGGATTTTCTACTTAATATTCATTTAACTTTTCTATGTCTTTTATTACTTTATTAGCTCATTTTTCTTAATGTAATTTTTAGTTTAAGTTTGGGAAAAAAAACAAATGCTAATCTTGTTGTAGACAGCAGGGATCCCATATATACTGTTGGTGTGAATGTAAATTGCTACAGTCACTCTACAAACTGCACTGCCTTATCAGTCAGCTGTAGCCCCTGGAGACATATCAGATAGACTCCAAGACAATATTCTATAGAGCTGATAGCACATCCATTCTTATTCTAGCACTATTCATATCAGTTGACTTCTGGAGTCAGCCTAAGTCCGTATCAACAAGTTAATGGGCAAGTAAAATTTGACATCTATATTCAATAGAGATTTCCTGAGACATAAAAAAAAGAATGAATTCATGCTGTTTGTTAAAACAGTGGATGTAACTGGAGATCATCATATAAAGTAAAGTAAGTAAACAGAATGAGAAAGGAAAGTAGGGAAAGGGGAAGACTAGTTGGATGATTTCTTAGTTAACATTTCTATTGCTATTATAACCACAATGACCCAAAATCATGTTGTGGATGAAAGGATTTCCATATTATTGCTCATCATCAAAGGAAGTCAGTACAGGAGCACAAACAGGGCAGGAACTTGGAGGTGGGAGCTGATGTAGAGAAAGGTCTAACAGAATGCTGCTATTTGGCTTGCTCCACATGTCTTGGCCAGCCTGCTATCTTGTAGAACTCAGGACCACCAACCCAGGGATGGCAACACCCACAATTGTCTGGGCCTTTCCCTGTTGATTGCTAATTAAGAAAATGCCTTACAGGCTTTCTTACAACCTGGTATTTATCAAGGCATTTTCTTTACTGAGCATACCTCCGCTCAGATGTCTTTAGCTTGTGTCAATTGACACCAAACTATCCAGCAAGAAGGGGGAGAGAGACAAACAGAGAGACAGAGAGAGGAGGGACATTTAAAAAAGGAATGGGAGCAGCAACCTGGTCTAAATGTATTAAACACCTGCAATATTGAAGGAAATTGTCTATGTAAACTCACCTGTGGTGCCTGTGCATTCACTAGTAGGAAAGTCACTGATGGTTTCATGTAAAACAGTTATCTATGTGTTGAGAAAGAATAGAGATGGCCTAGGAGGCAGGTGCTGAGGGGTGCACAGTAGGGAGGAAAGCAGAGTGTTTCACCAGGTTTTGCTTAGTCTCCTGGAAATGTAGGCAGAGAGTGAGCAGAGGCCATAGCAGAATGTCTGCTGCAGATCTGGGGACCATAATGCTGGATTGGAATTGGAGGGATGTAGAGAGGTGAAGATCTGTGTGATCTACCACATACAGTGGCAGAGAGAAAGGGAAGACAGCTGCAGCAGGTAATCTGATGCAGAGATGAGGATGAGACCGGGGAATTAGATTTGGGGGAGTGGAGGGAGAGGAGAAGATTTGCAATAAGTTTAGGTGCTTTTCTGACCTATGTAGCCAACTTGTTCTTAATGAGTAACATGTAGTTGTGATGTTGAATTTGGTTTGCAGTAAGTTATTCTTCGTCTTGTGAACATGAGGGAGAACATTCTGTAATTCACTTTTTGCCCATGTTGTGCTTTTACCAGGTTTTTGTATCCATGTAGTTTCAGGTTCTTAAAAAATTTTGTAGCATTCATTCTTTTTCGTTTCTATGGAAAATGTTCAGTTATATTGATGTTAGTATTTCTTTGGATTGTGGGTGGAATTCTGCAGCAAATAAATTGTTAATTGGGAGAATTCTTTTATTACTGCTTCAATACTGTTGTTGTTATTGATATTCAAAGGGATTTGGTTCATCTCAGTTTGATTTTGGCAGGTTATATGCACCTTGGAATCCACAAATTTACCTAGGTTTTCCAATATAATGGAATACAGTTTTTAAAGTATATATATATGATTTTCTGAATTCAGATGACTATAAAATGATGCCTTTCTTTTTAAACATGAAGTTATTCATTTGAGAATCCTTTTGGTGAATTTGGCTAAAGATCTGTCAGTTTCTGTCAGTTTTCTTATTTCAAAGAACCAACTTTCATTTCACTGATTCTTTTCATTATTTTTACTTTAGTATCTCTTTCATTCACTTATGCTCCATTCTCAATAATCTCTCCCCACCCACTGCTTGGGATCTTTACTTCTCTCTTTCTCCAACGTTTAAGTGTTTATTAGTTTTGTTAAGTCTTTCCTGAAGTAATTGTGCTTTCAGCCAAAATGTGTGCAACATTCACAAAAGGAATCAATTGCAGGAAATTTTGCCTGTCAGGTTTCTCTGCAGGTCTGGTACTGAGAGCTGCAGGTTCTGCCCCTGGGTCTTCTCCGCGTTCACTGCCACCAGCAGAGCACAGCTTCACCTGCATTCTTCTTCATCACTGCCTGCTATGGCTCTCCACACTCACATAGCTAACCCTGGGCCACCTCTGGCCCTTTCCTGGGTCCCCAGTTTCCAATCTGAGTTCCAGAGCCCCAAGTGCCTCTGAGTTTTTCCTGGGTCACCCCTGGGAAGTCCTTTGGTTGTCATCAATCTTGACCCTAGTTTTGGAGGTGATATTATTAACCAATTCATTTAAAAGTTCCCAATTTTTAGGGCTATAAATATTCCTCTTAGGACTTCCTTTATTGTGTCCCATAGGTGTTCCTATGCTAGGCTTTCATGTTCATTCAATTATAGGGCTTTACTTTTTATTTCCTTAATAATTTCTTTGTTAACTCAAGTAATGCAATAGTTGGGAAATAAGACAAATAAACTGTTTGGAGTCAGGGCATGGATAAAGGACCCAGGAAGATAAAGTAATTAGTGGATAAATCAGCGAGTGCAATATTGTATTGAATAAAGTAGATTTGACTTCTGTTCTGGACTGGTAATTATGAGATTCCTCAGTATATACCCTGAAGTTTGTTTTCAAGACAGGGTACTTACAATCTAAGGCTGGTGTCATTATTCTGCAAGAAATACATGGGGGAGACTGATGTAAGGATTTCCTTGATGCGTCCCATCTGCCTTGGATGAACACAAGGCACTTTAGAGGATGTAATTAGTGTTTATGAAGACATCCTGTCATCTCCAACTCCCAAGTACAATCAGATCATTTCTATAATTTCTTATTTCTTCCAAAATTTGTCTCCAAGGACTCTTAGGGCGACCCATATAGGCATCACGCTGCACACACTACCAAGGAGGCTGCTATTTGCAACCATTGCACTTCGGATCCTTATTGGAAAGGGGACTTCATCAGCTTAGTTAGCGACAAACGTAGTATTATTTTTATGTTGAGGTACTTTATCCATTTAGAATAGATAAGATTCTAGTTTCATTCATCTACACACGGATATGCAGTTTTCTTTGTACCATTTTTTGAGGACCCCACTTTTTCTCGGGAGATTACTTTTGTCCAGTATGTCGAAAGTCAGGGGGCTGAAGTTAAAAAGGGCATGTATCTGGTTCCTCCATTATATTCCACTGGTATGTGTCAGTAAAATGCTATTTTTATTTGAGTTGTCCATATCTGAGTATCGTTCATTTTTTTCCCTTAGGGTTGCTTTGGCTCTTCTAGGTGTTTTGAGCTTCCATGAGGATTTTATGTTTTTCTATCTCTGTTAAAAATTGCATTGAGATTTTGAGTGGGATTGCATTTTCCATATAAATGTATCAGTGTGAACACAAAAGAAAGAAACAGCTGATGGTCAGACGCAAACTTCTCCTTGTTGCCCACTTAGCCTTCATAATGCCTTGTTATGATGAATTATAAAAGCAAACCCTTTTCATTATTATGAGTTGTGTTTATGCCCCCTTCCAAAACTTGAACAGTCTGAATATAAGTGAACAGAAAAGGTTTCAGACATTAGTTGCCGTATTTATTATAGCAAAATATTATAAGCAGCATGACAACAAAGATAGATGGAAGCAAACCTAAATAACGAGAAATTCATACAAAATTATATATCTAGCTCAATAGACATTTGGAAACATAGCCATGTAAAAGCTCCAAATATTATGAAATATTTATTAAGAAAATTTATCACCTCTCTATGATATTTTGTTTCAATATCCTTCGCATGTATCACAGAAATTCTACATTAGTGTTCTTGAATTGAATGATACTTCCCCCAGAAGATATTTGTAATATCTGGTAGCATTTCTGTCTGTTAAACCTGGAGTGATCATGCCTTCTGATTTTTCTTACAGAGGCACAGCGTGCTGCAAATAGCCTACAAAGCACAGACCAGCCCATTGTTCTTGACACAAGAAGGAATTATCTGGGTTGAAATAGTATGAATACCAATATTATATTGAGTACACACAATCCACAAAACAGAGAGAAATTCAGGCATTGTAATACAAGGAAAAAGACACAGCACAGTTTCATATGCAGACTTTTGTGTACAACTAGCAATTATTTCCTTAAGCATAAGAAATTGAAAAAGGTCTCATACTAGCTATATTAAATAACAAATATCAGCTTGTTTTTAAATAAGTGAGGTTTGATTATATTTTCCTAGACTCAAGTTTATCCAATTGGGACCATTTCTTCTAAGTCTTTACTAAATCCCTGGTGAGCTTCTTTTGAACCTAAACTGAAGACATGGAAAAACAAATATCAACACAAAGCCCTTGGAAAGAAAAGAAATAGTGGTTGAGTGAACACTTCTGTTAAAAAAATACATTTTACTGTTCATCGTGGCAAAACTCCCAAGGTTTAATGAAGCAAAACCATTGTGAAAAATAAATAAATGAGCAAGTAAGAAAAATTGTAAAAGTCCACTGATGTGAGAACACAGAGAATATAAGTAAAAGTAGTCCATAAAGTGAACTCCTTTGCTGTCATATGCAGAGTAAATTTGACATCTCCCAGAGAGATGTAATAGCAGGCTTTATATAGTTATCAGCCCAAATTTATCAAACTTGATCATTGTAGCCTGCAGAGTAACTAATTATGTTTGACAGAGGTTGAATCTTACCACTACATCCTCTTTGAAAACAGACTTTTTGCATTGAGGGGTTCCATAGCTGCCTTTAAAAATTTGGGAAAGCTGAATGGTTTGTTAGTTGTCATGAGATGCCCAAGGGAGTTAACAAAGGGGAGGCAGCCTTTCCTAAGGAGTGGCAGTGTTCTAACAACTGCATGCCTGATGTTCTGCTGGTGGCTTTGTTGTTTTTGTTGCACACACACCCACATCCACCCACCCCCCCCACACACAAATATACACATGCACACACCATATCCTCCACAAATTGCTGTGTATTATTTTTCCAATTCTGCTCCTGGCAGTCAGAGTTCTAGATCATCACTTTTCTGAGGGGATTCCCCTCCCAGACTTGTAGTTTAACTTTCTCAGACAGACACTAAACACACAGCTGTCACACTCCTCTTCATGTTTTGAATGAAAGACAATAATTATCTTCAAGCATGAACACACTGTTTTAAAGACATGAGGCATTAAACAGGCATGGTAGGATCTTCAGCTTGTATTTGGAATATTAAAAACAATTTGTATTATTTTTTATTATGCGTATGTGTATGCATCTTGGTGGGGTTTGCAATATGACAGTAGTTGCCAGGCTAATACAGACAAGGTAATCAGGTGCTCTGGAACTTGATTGAGGGTAAATGAACGGTACCAGCTCGGATGCTGGAACCAATCTCTCCTCCAATTTGAGGTCAACACATACTTTTACCCAGTAAGTCATCTGTGTGGCCCCAGTAGTTTAGATACCCAGTGAAGTAATTTAATTTGAAAGCTTAGTTTTCCAAGAATTCTATCTTGGGGTAATGGTTTTTAAAGGAGATACTTTTTCAAAGAGCTTAAACAATCAATGTTGATTTAATTATCCGAGGGCATTATTCTCCCTTAATCCAATTCTACATAATTTAGAACAGAACCTATTATTACAGACTGTCATTGTTTGTCCCTTAATGTAACCTCATTTGGTCACAAAACAAGACTGACAAATATGGCTTCTAAGGAATTTTTGTCCTTTTATTTGAAGTGTGTAAGAAAACAAGAACTTTGGAAATGAAAATTAACTTTCATAATGAGTAATAACTGTGATTGTTTCCATAATAAAAATAAAATTTCTTAATACTTTATACACATAAATGATCCTCTTGTAATCAGAGAAACTTCACTTTATCATGGAGGCACATGAAAGTAAGTGACAATTGAGTAGAGCTCATCACTCCACAGGATATTCATATTGCCAGCTCTAAGGCTCAAGAAACAACAACAAAGATGAGGGTAGGAGGTAAGAGATAAAAGACAGGCAGAAGCGCTGTGAAATGCTATCATGTGGCCATGACACAGCCAATGCAAGTATGAACCCACAACACAGCTGTCCAGTAGGTATGTACATGACTGCTATCAACAGTCATGCTGTGGGTCAGCAAAACCCTACATTTCCAAACTGAAAAATGAAATAATTACAGATTCCGTGTGAGAGGTTGATACTATTTCCAGTTGTGAGAACACTGCTGAAACTGCCATACTCCAAAAACATAGTACCAAACCCAGGGTCACATACAGGCTCCTGGTTCAAACTTGGGTCACAAAATTGGGGAAAAAGAAAGACATACACATATGAACATGGGAAGAGGACCTGGGACAGTAGGTTAAAAAAATAACAATGCACTCTTTGAGTTTTGTAGTTTTTTATCTCAGCTATCGAGTCTGAGTGTGCAGACCAGAACTGTTTCAACTCTTCATGCTGTGTTTTGTTTCTCATACCATATCATCACTTTGAAAACTATAAATTAATTTTTATTCATGATTGAAGACACCACAAATGAAGTATTTTAAGGCTTTAAAGTAAAACATAATACAGGGTCCATTTGGATGTGTCTTTTAAATTTTTGGTGTGCATTGCTCCAGTTTTATGTAATTTAGTTACATTTTCTGAATAGACAAAATATATTATATATGTTTTTCCATATTAAATGTTTGAACATTAAACAGGATTTAATTAGGTATGTATTTTTTTCAATCTCCCAATTGCATTTTGATGGACTCCTTGGTTATTCAATTAACATGTGAATAATTTGCATAAAGTCTATTTATACTCTATGGACTATTGCAGAATCACTTGATATTTTCCCTGTTATATTAATGGATCCATTTACTATTGTACTAGTGGGAAATGAAGTCCTGTAATTGGAATCTAGTAAGATACTTTACAGCTTATTAGCTTAGGGGTAATTATCTGCATGTTATATTGCCAATTGAATTGCAATTGAAAGCAGCTCATTATAATATTTAAGAGAAGTGGCAACAAAAATAATTAAATTGTTACAGTAACCCCTGACTTCCAATGAAAATGAGCACATGCATTGAAATACTATTCTTTAACTTGTACACAGTTGTGTTCCTTTTTGATAACTGCTATTTTTCTCTGTTCCTTTTCTTTTTTCTTTTTAAAATTTGCTGCTTGCCATTGCAGGAAGTAGAGGTTTGTATGCTATTTTTCTGTTTCATATATTATTTTAGATTTTATGTGAATCTATGTATTTTAATTGATCATATACACTTAAGCCATCCTATTTTCCTCTCTTAGGATGATTATTTCCGCACCTGGAGTCCAGGAAAGCCATTTGATCAAGGTAAGAGCCTTATTATTGTAAGAAAAAGACATTTAAATGTTAATATCTGCTATACTGTAGAAATGTTATTTATTGCTTAGAATTTAAAATGCTAAACACATAAACATGCATGAGTGGAAAATATATGCAGTAACTCTGTTTATTTCAGTATAATAAAGTTAGAAAGGAGATAATTAGGTACATGATTATGTCAGAATGCCACTTACTTTTAGAAACATGGTTTAGATTGCTGATTTGAGAAATTAGACTTTATTTACCATGTTTATTTTTATTGGTTGTTACAAGGCACTTCATCTAGTTTTCAGGGGTATCCATCTAGTAGTATATGCATTTGTGAAATTTTGAAAAGACATATATTATTACTGTCTCCACTTTATTTTATTAAAATGTTTTATCTGAATGGAAAATCGTTGGTGATTACATGCAACAAAGGTCTTAGTAACACCATAAAAGAAATGCTAGACACCAAATAAAATTCTTTAGCTCAATATCTATAGCTTGGGTCCTGGTTAGCTCATGTAAAGAAGGATCTTTACACTGAACAGCAAGCATATGTCATGAGAATGCGAGCATCTTCATCACCACAATCATAATAACACAAAATAAGAAGTGCGTAAATAACTAGGTCTGTGATGCTGGGTACAGAATGCTATTTACAG